CGTCCCCAGAGACTCGTCCCCAGAGACTCGTCCCCACAGACCCGTCTCCAGAGACTCGTCTCCAGAGACTCGTCCCCAGAGACTCGTCTCCAGAGTTCATGTTTCACAGCTGAACAGCTCAGCAGCAGGTTTTCTGCTCAGACTCGTTCAGCATCAGATCCTCCTCGTTCTTCAGGTGAGAGGTGGAGCAGACAGGAAGTGATCATGATACTCACTCTGACATTTGAGTTCGTCCTCCAGAGAATCCAGAGAACTGAGGAGTTCAGTCTGAAAGCAGCTCTAGCTCTAAAATCGAGCTCATGTGGGGCCCTGAGCCTCAGGTTGGTCTTTACTCACGTATCCCAGTCTGAACTTCCTGATGGTCCACTCCAGAGACTCGGTCTCAGAGAGCATCTCCACGCTGATCTCTCCGTACATCACCGGCTCGTCTGTGAACGGCCAGTAGTGGTCGCACTTCACCTGGAAACACAAAACACGTCAGCGCCGAATCACGGCGGCCGAGACACGAGTCGTCCCGTTTCCCTCCAACGGACCAGGAGTGAGACTCACCCTCCGTCGCTCGTTACACTGCGTCAGCATCACCACGATGGCAGATTTCTGCTGCAGGACCATTTTCCAGAAGTCGTTCCGGGTCTCAGGCAGCGGACCCTGCGTGGCGATGTACTCCTTCACGTGTTTGTATCCCTGGAACACAACGTCCCCGTCATCATCTTCATCATCATCATCTTCAATATTATTATAGATCCATTATTGTTAGATCCTGATCTAGAGATTTAAAACTCAATTCATCTTTTTAAATTCACAGTTTGTAATGAATGAGTTCATTCTGCAGTAAAAATACTTTTATAAAGATACTTTTACTCTGAGTACTTCCTGCTGACTGGTGTATGTACTCACAGGTATGTAGTTGGCGTTGATGTAATCTGAACCTTCGTCGTTGTGCATCGAGATTAACTGAACTCGACTGAAGTCATCTGGAGAGAAGATCCTCCTCATCATCATCATCATCATCATCATCATCATCATCATCATCTTCATCA